GCTCATTCTCATCGGCCATTCCCCTTATAGTCAGACAAGTTTGTGTTTGCAAACAATGTGCAGCCCATAGCAGGCTCTCCCCAAATGCTCGCCTCCACTGCCCAAGGCCCGTTTAACACAAGCAGGGATTGACTCCTCAGGCCGACAATGAAGCCCAGACACGGCCCCAGAGAAAAAGATGTAAATAAAACCACAGGAAAACGAGGTGAGTCCTTGAAACTCCCCTGTCCCTTGGCCCGAAACAGGGATTTATGACTCGGATAATTCCCGGTGCTTTACCTGGGGTGCGTGGGCCTGTGTGTGTGCGTGTGGCGTGCCAGTGTATTTTCCTAGTAATAAAACCCTCAGTCTGGAGAATAAATTCGAGCAGACAGTTTTACCGACAGGCTTTTTTCTCCTTTGTATAATAATAATAATTTAAAAATAGGAGTGAAATTTGAGATTGAGACGATAAGGGCTGCCCAATTTTAGGAGCAGATAGAAGGGAGGCGAGGCTGTGAGTCAACCGGGCAGGATGCCCCCACTATCATGGAGGAGAAAATCCTCCAACCTCCCCTTCTGCGAATCGGAGTCCCCCGCTTACGGAGCCGCCGCTGGAGCAGAGGAGGGGCTGGAGGCACTGAGCCCACCCACAGCCTCTCTCAGCCTAGGGGGTGGGGGAACTCTGCTCTAGGAGCCAGAGCTTTGCAGAGTCCAGTGTGGACCTCAGCTGAATCCCTTTGCCTCTCTGAGCCTCAGTTTCTTCATCTGCAAAATGGGAACGTTATTGTCTAATCTCACTTTTCAGGGGCATTGTGGGTCCACACGAAGGGGTGGGCCTAGAGCGGGTTTCTTGCCCTCGGCACTGCTGATGTTTCGGGCCAGATCACTCTTTGGGGGGTTGTTCTGTACATCGTATGATGGTTATAGCCTCTGGTTATATGATGGTTATAGCGTCCCTGGCCTCTACTCTAGATGCCAATTACTCCCCTCCCCGGTTGTGACGACCAGCACCGGATCCAGACATTGCCAATGGCCCCCAGCTAAGGACCCGGGTTTAAGGGTCCTTTGCTCCTCTTCCTCCCTCTTCTCCTTGTCCCCTACTGGGAAGCTGGCCCCGTGTTGCAGAAGAGGCAAGGGAGAGGGTGAGAGGCCGTGGTGCCAGCTTCCCAACTACATGGGCGAGAGGCCTCCTTATTCTGTTTGTGTGTTGGTTGGTTAATCCTCACCCGAGAATATTTTCCCATCGATTTTTAGAGAGAGTGGAAGGGAGGGGAAGAGACACTGAGAGAAACAGGAGAGAGAGACATTGATTGGTTGCCTCCCGCATGTGACCTGACCAGGGCTGGGAATTGAGCCTGCAACCAAGGTACATACCCTTGACCGAAATCGAACCCAGGACTCTTCAGTCCGCACGCCAATGCTCTATCCATTGAGCCACATTGGCTATGGCTGGGGCCTCCTTATTCTTTAGGAAGATCCATACGAAGGTGGCCGTGCCTGGAACACGGCTGGTGCTCAGTAAGTGCCGGCTGGACTGCACTGCATCTGTCTAAACCAGTAGCAGCACCTCCTGGGCCTGACAGCTGTGGCTCAAGTCTCCTTGGGCCCAGATGTGCCCAGAGGGGCCCAGCTGCACCCAGGCCAGCCCTCCCAGGAGGGTGACAGGTCCAAGCTCAATGCCCAGCCAAAGCGGGTGG